CACTTTCTGGACCTCAATTTCCTCGTCTGTAAAAGACCAGGTAAAGAATGTCTATGGTACCTTTCAAGTCTGAATCTTCTCTGCTTCCAAAATCGGGACTCCCAGAGCTTCCATGAGGCATTAGCAGTTGGAATCATTCATATTTTAGAGCAAATGATTTCGATCAATAAACTTCTGATTTATGGACCATCAGACAGACAGTAGAACACAGTGAAATAGAAAAAATTAAGGCAATGCTAGGAATGATATTCCGGGGCCAGAGGCAGGCCCCACCTGACCTCTCCCATCTGCTGTTTACTATCAATGATTATCTTACTGTATGGACCCCTTACCAAGTTCCACAAGCACTTGAGGGTATTTCTGGGACTTTAAATTTCTGGTTTGGATCCAGGAAATGTCATCAACTTCTGGGGGCAGAGGCAGGCCCCACCTTTCTCATCTAACCCATCCTGAGGTTCTCTCAAGCTTTGCTGCTTTCTGTGGGTTCCTAGAATGCTGGCCTTTGATGTGAGGTCAAATCTTACCAACAATTATTAACAAGTTGACCCTGGGGAAGTCCTGTAACCTTCAGGAGCTGTTTCCTCATCTGTAAGACTGAGGTATTCCTTGTAAAAGCCACACCTCATCTGGTCGGTTGTTATGTTCAGCAAGGAGATACTGTGTATAAAGCATGATTTTGGCAAATCTGAACATGCTATGGAAATGTCACTGGTATCTACTGGGCCACCTCAAGAAACATTTTTTAAGTGCCTACTGTTGGAGATACAAAGAAAGATAAAAAGGCTGCCCTTTGCTTTCCACAAGTTGCCAATCCAATGTTAGCTTCCAAAAGCTGTCCTCCTTCTAAGACAAACAAACAGAAAAACCCATAGATGATTCCCAGAATGTTTTTTTTTTGGGGGGGCATTATTTTTGCAGGAATACATGACCTGTTCCTTTCCTGACCTTCCTAAGCTACCTTATTCCCAAGGATAAATAGAAATTCACCAGATTGAGACCGAAGAAGAAAAATGGTGGCCTGGCCTAAGAAAGGGCTCCTTTACATGTTATCCCAAGGCTGGCTTATGCTCTCCTGCCCACCCACCCTGTGTAATTAATTGTTGGCTGTGTGGATCTATAATAGTTTCACTTTAAGAATGAGGAGACTGAGGCTCAGAAAAGTTAAGCTTGTCCGCAATCACATAGCTCACTAAGGAGCTGGCGCTCCAATCCAGTTGTTTGCCTCCAGACAGACAGAGAGCTCCTCCAGGGCAGGAACTGGTTTTGCCTTTCTTTGCTTACCACAATGCTGGGCACACAGTAGATGCTTCATCAATCCCTGTTGACTTGTTGATTGACTCTAGACCCAGCCCTCTTTGCACCACCCTTCTGGCTACCTTGAGTTTGCCCAAGGCCCATCTCCATCCATGCCCACTTCCCCCTGGCCACAAGCCTACCAGGGTAGCAGGGCAGAGGTGATTATCCATATTTGTCCAGTGAGCAAGCTAAGGTCTGATCTACCTTACCCAAGGCCATCACCCCAGGGGAAAAAGTGATTGAGACAACTTAGCCTGGTCACTGTAGGAGAGCCTGCTTTTCATAACACTGCCCATATCTGCTGTCCTGTTGTATCCTCACCATGATCTGAGATATCTGTGACCAGGGTGGTACCTGTCCCCATTTTATGGATGAAGCAATGAAGGACCAAAGGTCACATAGCTGCCTCGAAACTGCTTTTGTGTATGCTTGACACACTTTTTAGCAAATAGTAGCGATATTAGCTCATTGGAAATGCACCTTCTGTCCTTCCTGAAGACAAGTGTGTCAGCTACATGTGAAAAGTCTTTGCAAGAAAGCAAAGGACATTCAGTTCCAAATTGGTTCTGAGCTTGGGGGAAGAAATGTGAGGAAGTGCCTCCAGATTAGGGATCGATTTACTTATTTCCAGTGCCCAGCTATTACTTGGTTAGCCAACAAGCTTCTGTTAGGCACCGACTATGTGCCAGACAGGATATAGAAACAAGCAAAAAGAAAGAAAGATCTTGCCCTCAAGGAGCTTCCATTCTAATGGAGAGGCAGCAGAAAAGGGAGAGTGGTGGGGTCCAGAGGAACACCACCTAGCTTGGGCAGCCTCCTTCAGTGGAGGTTCTGGGAAGAGCCTTCCAAGGCACTTGCAGGCTGTGAGTTCTAGGGCTGAAGATGTTCTTCCAGGATGAACAGTTCTGGGGGCATGGCAGAGGAATGCCAAGGAGGGTGATGCACAATGTCTGGTTTCTAGTAGGTGCTTAATAAATGTCTATAGGTTGATTGGTTGAGACAGCTGAGATATCATCAAGGGAGCTTTAGCACAGTGACAGTAGCAATAATAACACATTTATATAGTGCTTTTAAGTTTGCAGTGACAGCCATGTGAAGGGTGTAGAGCCTAAAATGGGATATTCCCATTTTACAGATGAAGAAGAAGCTCAGAGAGGGTTAGGGAGGGGCCCAGGCTCACTGGAATGGGAGTTTGGAGAAGGCTTCAAAGGCAGTGGGTCCCCTGGTTAAGCAGCAGAAGCATTTTAAGCTTTTCCCAGTGAAGGAAAGACATCATTGCTTGGTATTAGCATAGTCCTCTGATACCTGGACCAGGACATGAGCTAATTAAGCCTTCCAGTTCTGCCTTCCCCCTTCCTTTCCCTCCCACTCTCCTACTTTGGTGTAGATTCTGAGGTTCAGAGTTGGAAAAGACCTTAGAAAGCCTCTAGTGGGGCAGCTGGGTGGTGCAGTGGAGAGAACTCCAGCCTTGGAGTCAGGAAGACCTGAGTTCAAATCTGGCCTCAGACACTTGACACTTACTAGCTGTGTGACCCTGGGCAAGTCACTTTGTTATACTGAAAAATTAGCGAGTTAGACCCAGACTAATTTAAATTGTAGACTTTATTATATTAGTGTGCGGCTGCCAGGGGTATTCACATCCAAATCAAGCAGCCCCCATCAGGGGTCGAGCTAGGGTTTATATAGGGAGTATACAGGACAGGGAGGGGGATGGATCTTTGAAGTCTGGCAAGAGGAAGAGGTTTTTTGGGGGCTGGTCAAGGACACCCTTCTCCCTCTGTGTAGATATGATAATGCTGTGCAAACTTTCTCACAATGGAGGCTTCTGGAGATATGATCTGAGGGCTGGAGCCTGAGCAGCCAGATAAGGGTCGTGCTGAGGCCCATGCATGAATACTGCTAGGCAGAGTGTCCTTGGGCTGGGGAGTGGTTGTCAGAGATAGTGTTTCTGAGACTAGGGAGGCATTTTGGGGGCAAAAGTATAAGCACAAGCATCCGAGCACCCCATCATTACAGGTCAGGGATCACACAAACCAGACCCAGGTGTCCTGGTTTCTGGTATAAACATAATTATCTAAAGCCATTATATTGCAAGTTTTCTTATCCATTTGTGTTGGAGGTATGGGCTGTGCTTAAGCCATGCAAGAGTACATTTCACTATTGTTTAGATTTAGGAGGAAAGAAGTCTGGGGCAAGATTAAGCAGCAACTTCTGCTTTCCATGGCCTAAAGGGCCCTACTACCTAAATGGTAAAATAATGTTCTGCATTACAACTTAACCCTGATTGCCTTACTAAAAAAGAAAAAAAAAAGACATAAAGAAAGCCTCTAACCCTACCCCCTCCTTTATAGATGAGGAAAGGTCTTGTTCAAGATCATACTGAGTTAAGTAGCAGAAACAAATCATCCCCCTCTCCACACCCAGTAATGTCAGATTTAGGCTGGTTTCCCCAAAGAGGGAGCATAAATACAGTTACTATTTATAATGTAATATAATTCATATATTCATTCAATATCATTCATTCATTAATTCATTCTTCTTGACAAACATTGTACACAGGGCTATGTGCTTGGGAGATACTTAGTGATAATGCCCCAGCCTTGCCAGTGCTAGTTGTTGTAGGTTCCAAACCTTTTTTTTCTTTTTCTTTTTCTTTTTTTGTTTTGTTTTGTTTTGCTTTGGTTGCTTTTTGGTGAGGCCGTTCAGTGACTTGCCCAAGGTCACACAGCTAGTAAGTGTTAAGTGTCTGAGGCTGGATTTGAACTCAGGTCCTTCTGACTCCAAGACCAGAGCTCTATTCACTGTGCCACCTAGCTGCCCCAGTTCCAAATCTTTTAAAATCTCTAAATGATGTATTTCTCTGAAATGAAGTTTTCTTATTCTCTTCCTGGCATGACTACCTCAGTCCATCAAGAAACATTTATTAAGCACCTACTGTGTGCCAGGGACAGTATTAATGATACAAAAAGGGGGGGCAAAAGCAGTCCCTGCCCTCCAGGAGCTTACATTCTGATAACAAAGACATATACAGGTGCATAGACAGGTATATACAATATATATGCAAACACTTAGGAGGTGAGGGGGGGGCGAATGGGGGCAAGGAAGTGCTAGAGTCTGAAAGGAATGAGGGCTTTTGAGAGGTGGGCAGTGAGGAGGGTGGGAGGTCATTTCAGGCATGGGAGGTAGCCAGGGCCAAGACAGCTCCAGAGGCAGGAGGTTATAGGAACACAGTCTTAGAGCTGGGAGGGACCTTAGAGGTCCTTAAGTCCATTCTTGTCAAAGATGGTGGTTCAGTCATTTTTCAGTCCAACTCTTTGTGAGCCTATTTGGTGTTTTCTTGGCAAAGGTACTGGAGTGGTTTGCCATTTCCTTCTCCAGCTCATTTTACAGATGAGGAAACTGAGACAAACAGTAAAATGACTTGCCCAGGGTCATACAGCTAGGAAGTGTCTGAGACTGGATTTGAACTCAGATCTTCCTGACTCCAAGCTTGGTGCTCTATCCACTGCGCCTGAATCTTTTTTATTACAAAAAAAGTTTATTATTGTGATTTCTTTTTCAAGTAACAAGTGTTTAAAAAAATCATATCTCTCTCATGACTTTCCCCTTTCCCCTCATTGAGCAAATTAAGAACAAAAAAAAGAAAGAAAAGAAAAAGAAAAACAACTCCCTCAATCCATAAGCTGGCAAAACAAATTCCCGCATTAGCCTTGGCCAAAAATATATTTGTCTCTGTGCATCTCAAGTCCGTCGCCTCTCTATCAGGAGACGAGCAGTGAGTTTCATCTTCACTTTCTGGATCTGTGATATTGCATTCATCCAAGTTCTCAAGTCTTACTCCTAATCCTGAGCCCTTTCCACCGTGCTGTGTATGAGAAACAATTTATCAGTCTGTCATCAAATATTAAGTGCCTACTACATGCTGACCCTGTGCAGGGCATCAGAAATGCAAGGACAAATAGAGCCTGTCTTTAGGCAGCTTACATTCTAATGGGGTTGGGGAGACAGCAGGTACAAACCTATCTAGGTATATACAAGTTGAGTTTGCAAAGTGCTTTATCTCATTTAATCTTCCAAACAGCCTGAGAAGGGAAGTGCTATTATTATCCCCATTTTACTGATGAGGAAACTGAAGGCCAGCTTGGTTAAGCAGTTTGTCCAAGGTCACACAGGGAGTAAATATCTGAGTGGGTTTGGAACCTATGTCTTTTCCCCTGCACCCCTCTGCCTCTTGGTGACATACATTAGTTTTGGAGGGCGTGATGTGTACAGAATACAGACCGTGCTATGGTCCTGAGGCTGGAGAGGTAAGGTGGGGCCAGGTTGTGGAGAAATCCAAGCATTGGAGTTGACTTCATCCTGTAGGTAAGAGAGAGCCCCCTGGGTATATTGGGCAGGATAGATGTGTACTTTGGGAAAATCACTTTGTCAGCTGAGTGGTGATGAACTGGGAAAGGAAGAGGCCTGAGGCAGGAAGACCAGTCAGGAATCCACCGTCATGAGTCTAGGTGAACTAGGTGAACCATGGCCTGAGCTAGCTAGGGAGGTGGCTGTGGGAGATGGCATCTAAGCGAGTGACCTGTCATTAAGGAATTGCCCAAGTCTTGCTTTCTGTGGTTCAACCAGTGACAGTATTTTCATGTCAGAATGGTTCAGCTCTAAGCACTGGGTCTCAGAGAAACATCCCTGTGTGTAGATTACAGCCTCCTAAGACAGGCCTCCTTGTATGGGTCCTGTGATGTCTGAGCACCATTTTGTATTCCTAGAGGCTCATTCCTGGTAAAGGATTATTTAGCCATGTCAAACCAGGGTCACATAGCTAGTTCTCACTTGAGACGAGATTCAAACCCAGAGAATACTCTAGTAACCACACTCCAGCTAATCTAAAGAAATTTCATTTTTTACTTGATTTTACCACTTAAGGTGAAAGTAGCATGCAGAATTTTAGTTGTCTCTTAATTAGCTGCATCCATAATTACTCCAACCCTACCTTGACCCAGTTTTAACCCAACTTGCTCTTTTTTAAAAATTATTTTTGTTTTTAATTATCAAGCCTCTTTTTTGTTCCTCATTTGCTCCTCCCTCCCAACCCCACTTTAAAAAAAACCTTTAAGGAAAAAAAAGTTCTGATTTTTGAGGACAATTTCTGTTTTTGGACACATGTCCAAAAATGTCTGTTTTTGCTTACCGTGTCTTTGAGCCCGATGCTGTTGGTGGGATAGGAGAAAGAACATTGCGCTGAGAGCTGGGAAATCTTGGGTCTAGTGGCTCTGACCCTAACATAACATGATTTTGAGCAAGTTCCTTTTGTTCTCTGGGCCACATAGAAAGATCACACCACGTGATTTCTAAAGGTCAATCCCAGCCCTAAATCGAAGATGGCTTTTTGTCCATAGACTATTTTAATTTCTGCCTTACCTCACCCTGGGAGCTCATGCTTAATTATCCACTTAAAATAGTTCTTTCCCCCCCATCATACATCACGATGTTCCTGGCACTCTGATCTCCCAGACAGCTGTTTACCAAGATTTGCTTCTAGAAAATAAACAATTTCCTACAAATTATACAGTATTAGGTTAACAAAACAAGAAATAGACCTCTTAAGTAAACAATCCAGTCTCAGAAAGTGAAATTTAACAAGGTAAAAATGATGTGGGGGCAGAGGAGCCCACCTGTTCAGATTGGTTTGTAAGTGAATTCTCTCACTGATTTTGAGAGGAATGAATACAAAAATGAATCATTGAGATGTGAAATAAGTATGGTCTTGACACCCAAACCAGGGAGGAATAAAGCAGGGAAAGAACACTGTAAGTCCAATCTAATTTATATTGATGAAAAAATTTAAACAAAATCCTAGCAAAAGGATAACTAATTTAAAAATTATTTTCTCTCACCAAGATTGACTTCTTCCCTCAAAAAGGTTAATAATCATTGCTTAGCTTAAGTAAGACCCAGTGCTTAGAGCAGAATCATCCTTATATGAAAAAATGGAATTGAACTATAGAACCTCAGGTGTCCTACTGCAATGCCTTACCCCTAAAAGAACTCCTTCTTCCTTTGTCATATTTCATTTCTTGGTAATGGACACAATTGAGATTTTAACACAAGGACATTTGGATAAACAGTCGCTGTGTCTGCTTTGGGATCTCCAGGAATTACCTTGTAGGACCTTCTTCTCTGGAAGCTACCTGGCTTACCGAGAACCTCCCTTCCTCTTCAGTTCTCTTCTCCCCACTCTGGAGTTGTTGTGAGTGTGGGAGGAGGGGGAGCCTTCCATCACCTCAGCCTTTCCAAGAATACAACCCTTCATAGAGAGGGTTTTGTATGTGCCCCCAGGAAGAGTGTTAGACTTTGGAATGAACTTGGCCCAGGCCCCAGGAGAGTCAGCCCTGGAGGTTAACCCTTTAAATGCCTCCCCCCTTTTCCCCTCTACCTCCCCACCCCTGGCTGGCCCAGCGGCTGAAGATTGGAAGCCTGTCTAGGCTGCCTGTCATTGATCTTGTGACTGATGGCGACCTGCCCCTCTAGGGCTGGCCTCAATGACCTAGGACAAGAGCAGGACAATAATAACCATGTAAGTTCATTTTTTGTTCATTTGCCGAAAGAAAAATTTGGGTAGGAAGCCTCATTCTTTGGGATTAGAGTGGGGCTGCACCCAACTGGTGACCTCTAGAAGGTTCAGATTAAACAGTGGGAGGGTACAAGGCACTGGGGAACCGGTGGGGGCTAAGAGGTAGACCCTGCTTGAGCCCTGACCGCCTAACAAGGAGGCCTGGGTTCTAGCCCCAGATTCAGATGCCTCCGGGATCTCTTCCAGTGCTGAGATGTCAGAATACCTGGGTGACCTCAGCCATGTCAGTTTCTCTTCCTCTTTAAAATGGAGGGCTTGGGTGCCATGTCCAAGGGTGCCTCCTGCTTAATGGGGGAGATAAACCACCAGTGCTAATTAGAATATTTCAAGAGTCCAAGAAGGGGAGAGAGCTTGGAAGGAAATGAGAGAGGGAGAGACAGAGAAACAGAGAGAGACAGAGAGAGACAGAGAGGAGACAGAGAGAGAGAGAGAAAGAGAGGGAGAGAGAGGGGGGAGGGGAAGGGAGGAGAGAGAGAGAGAGAGAGAGAGAGAAAGAAGGAAGGAGAGAGAGAGAGGAAAGAGGGAAAAAGAGGGAGAGAGAAAAAGAGAAAGAAGGAAGGAGAGAGAGAGAAAGAGAGAGAAAGAGAGGGGGAGGAGAAGGGAGGAGGGAGAGAGAGAGACAGAAAGAAGGAAGGAGAGAGAGAGAGAGAAAGAGAGGGGGAGGGAGGGGAGGAGGGAGAGAGAGACAGAGAGAGAAAGAAGGAAGGAGAGAGAGGAGAGAGGGAGAGAGAGAGAGAGAAAGAAAGAGAGGGGGAGGGGAAGGGAGGAGGGAGAGAGAGAGAGACAGAGAAAGAAAGAAGGAAGGAGAGAGAGGAGAGAGGGAGAGAGAGAGAGAAAGAAAGAGAGGGGGAGGGGAAGGGAGGAGGGAGAGAGAGAAACAGAGAGAGAAAGAAGGAAGGAGAGAGAGAAAGAAAGGGAGAGAGAAAAAGAGAAGAGAGAGAAAGAGAGAAGGAAGGAGAGAGGAGAGAGAGAGAGAGAGAGCGCGCGAGCGAGCACAGGTCAGAGCAGAGCTAGTCCCTGGTTCATGACAGTTGTCCCTTCCTTTGGGTGGGTTGCGCCCCCCTCCCCAGTATTTCATTCACCAATGCATTACAAATACTTTAACAGCCTGCCATGTACAAACCCCTGCCCTAGGCCCTGAAGAAGACACCCACCTTAGGTGAGACAAAGCCCCCGCCCCATGAAGTTTGTGGCTCAGCAGGGAAATAATATAGACCAATGCATCCTAGGGGCAGCATAGCATAGCCTGGAGAGGCCTGGGCCGGAAGACCTGAGGTCAAATCCTTCGTCTGACACATACAAAGTATGGCCTCAAACAAGTCATTGGGCTTTCCAGGAAAAGGTTTTCCCCCCTTTTCCTTTTCACAAGTATAAGTTGCAAAAGAGTTATCCATTTTAGAGGTTTCAGGTTGGTGTGATTTCTTTATTGATGAAACCACAAGTCCAGACCCCCCCCCAAAAAAAATATTAAATGTATCAGTGAAAAACAAAACCCTATGAAGTCTGGAATTGGCGTATATGTGAATACTGATGGGGAGGGTCCTCTCTAAGCCTCAGTTCCTCATCTGGAAAATGGGGATGATGCTTTTAGCATGGCACTTTGCAAACCTAGATGCCAGATATTTTTATTATTAGCATCGTTGGCAAAGACCTGGTGGTGGGAGAGTATTAGATATCATAGTTTAATAAGAAAGTAGGCCAACTTGTCAGGCCAGTGAATGGAGGGAGAATATGAGATTAGGCTGGTGCCAGATTGTGGAGAGCCTTAAATAGCAGGCACAATTTGATCCTGATTCTGAAAATTTTTGACCCCAAAGTGACCTGACCACATCCATACATTCATTTATTGTTGTCATTACTGAGTTGTTGTAGTCCTGTCTGACTCTTCGTGACCCCATTTGGGGTTTTCTTGGCAAAGGGACTGGAGTGGTTTGTCATTTCCTTCTCTAGCTCATTTTACAGATGAGGAAACTGAGGCAAACAGGGTGAAGTGACTTGCTCAAGGTCACACAGCTGCTAAGAATCTGAAATGAGATTTGCACTCAGGCTCAGTGCTCTGTGCACTCTGGCGCCCCCTAGCGGCAATCGTGATTGTAAGAGAGAGTTTGGAAGCTTGGGAAATAATAGATTGGAGGGGGAGGACATCGGAGGCCGTACTTGTGCATGGACCCCTTGCCTGGACCCTGGTAGCATGAAATTCAGGGTTCAGTGCCTGCTTCCTTCTTTACTGAGGACATGCTGAGGGATGAATTCTCTGCCAGGAGGGAGGCCGCAGCACTCCAAAGGCAGGGATAATTGACGAATATTCTCATCTCTCAAAGCCTCAGGCCAGAAAGTCCGAAGGTTCCCGAATGAAGAGATGGGCTTCTGCCCTGGCTCTGCCACTGACCTTGCTCCGTGTGACCTTGGACAAGTCCCTGCCCCATTATAGGCCTCAGTCTCCTTGTCTTTAAAATGAATGTGGTGGACATTACTCCAAGTCAGGTTGGTTTCACCATGATGTCAGAGGGGTCCAATATGCAAAAAGAGGTTTAAGAAACCCAGGAAGAAATGATTATTGTTGTTATTTGGGCAGCTAGGTGGTACAGTGGCTAGAGCGCTGGGCCTGGAGTCAGGAAGAGCTGAGTTCAAATCAGGCTTCAGACATTAGCAGTGTGACCCTGTCTGAATCAATTACCCTCTGTCTCAGTTCCTTCAGCTGTAAAATGGGGATAAAAATAGCACCCACCTCCAGGGTTGTTGTGAGGATCAGATGAAATAATAGTTGTAAAAAGTGCTTAGTAGAGTATTTGTCACACAGTACGTGCTTTATAAAATACTCATTCTTTTCTTTCCCCCTCTTTGCACATAGTAAGTGCTTAATAAAATTTTCTTTATTCATTCGTGTGATGGAAAGAGTTCTGGGTTCGGATTTAAATCCCAGCCCTGTTACTTAATGGTTTTCTGACCTTGGGTAAATCACTGTCTCTTTGGGAGAAAGGAAGGGGGTGAGCTAAATAGCTCTCTTCCTGGCGTCCCTTTGATGGTCCCTTCTGGGTCTCTGAGTTGGTGACTGCCAGGCCTGGGGCCCGCAGGTGGTTTGTGCCTTGCTTCTCTCTGTAAAGGAGCCCCGATGGGGTCAGCGTTTAAAACCTCCAGATCAGAACTCTTCTGTGTCTCTGAATTTGCAAACTGCAATCTGCTGGCCAGTGGGGCTTGGAGTGGGGCACTGCTTGCCTGACCCTGTTTGCCCCTCTCTTGTTTTATGTCTGGTCCACTTTGGGCTGGGGGTTGCCCTGCCCATCAGTGACCTGATTTTCCAAGTGCTCTTATCTGGGAGAGTTTTAGACACAAAGATGAAAAGCCTTAGGTGAGGGGATGATGGGCATGTGTGAATTAAGTAGGCCTAAGATACAAGGATGTGGCAAGCCTCAGGTAGGAAAGCGGGCGTTCCCATCTTGGGCGGGCAAGCCGTCCAGCTGGGACCTCTGGCCTTAGCGGAGGCCAGGACTGGAGGAAGGACTTTCTCAAATGGCCAGTGAAGACAAACATACTCAGTGGAAACTGGCAGTATTTCACAATCGCTTACCTAGCATGTGGTAACCCAGGTCCCTCCCACGTTGCCTGACGCAGAGACAAGGCAACCTGTAGAAAGGTGGTGATTGTGGCCCAGCTGTCTTGAGCCTAGGAATCCCAGCCCCAGGGTGGTGTGAACGGTGCAAGGGGTGCCCATGTCGGTAAGTCTTTGGCGGGCATTTCTGATCTTCTGTGTTTGTGTGGGGAGAGAGGGTGCAGGGGCATAGCCAAGGTCCAAATGCAAGGTCTAGCTCCGTGCCCTGAGACAAGGCGCTGTCCCTCTCTGTTCTTTAACTTCTTGTGCTCTGTAAGTCTTAAAATGACCTGTAAATGACTGTTATTCTATCGGGGGGTGGGGGGAACGGGGAAGCTGTTTGTTGATGACTAGCATAGAACTACACTGGCGTTCAGAAAGCCCTGCCTTCATCATTCGTGACCTTGGTTTCTTCCCATTTCTAAAATGGGGACCATCCTTTGCGAAAAATACTGAAATTAGAGTTATTATTGACTGATGGTGGTAAGTTAACATGGATTCCCTCCACCCACCCCCAAGCCTTTGGAAGTATCCGGTAACATGAGAAATTTAACCAGAATCCTCCCCCCAAATCTCCTTTCTCTGGCTGTTGCGTGGTTTATGTTCCCCACGTCTATGAGAAATCATGGCCCTCGTGTGCAGCTGCTGCAGCCACAGCTCATTTTGCAATACATCAGAATCACTCCCACTGGTCCAGGGTGTTCAGGTCAGTGAAGGACGAAGTAGGGGCTGAAAAGAGGTTTTCTTAAGAGGACTGTGTTTGCCTTTCATTCTGATGCCGCTGAGAGTGCTGGCCAAATATTGCTGAGAGAAAGTGGCTGGGATTTGGGATTTGGTCCATCCCCCTGCCTGCCACTGTTAGAGCAGAAGTTCTCACAGAATTACATAGGTTTGGTGGTGGGGGGGCCGGGTTCTTCCGTAGGTGGTGACCAAGCCTTGTGATTTACAGAGACAGGGAAGTGAGGTGACGTGGCCATAGGCACCCAGAAATTAGTGAAGAGCCGGGTCCGAGAGCCCGGGTCTCCTCCTCTTCGGGTTGCGTCGTTCTTCCTGCTCCGTAACCCAGGGCGCTCAGCCTCTGGGCGGAACTGGGGGGGAGGCTGTTCCTTC